TATTCTTCAGTTGTAGAAATCTAGAAGTCAGGGAAAATTCATAGAAACTGCAATGTTTACAAATACCGGAAGTCACGCATCATACTGACCCGTGATTGGCTTATCTACCGTTTAGTCGCAGGGACTGGTCGCACAAACAGTTCACACGAAGGGAAAAACATTTGTTTCATGCGACAAGTCCCTGCGACTGGTCGCATGAATTCAAACCAGTTTGAATTCATGCGACCACAGAAATGTGTAGTTCACACGAAGGGACTAGTCCCATCGTGTGTGCCGACCTTTACAGGAATTATTGCTGTAAGCGGATTAATTCTACGGCTAAAAGCGAAGGAGTTGAGCAGTGATCCAGACTTCAAAGCCTCACTGGGTTGCTACCAGAGATGGAAAAAGCGCCATTCCATCAGCCTTCGCACTAGGACAACCCTGGCCCAGCGACTCCCACAAGATCTGGAAGAAAAGATCATCCAGTTCCATCAGTTCGTGATCGCACTTTGGCAGCGGTATGGCCATTCGCTCTCCAGGCTGTTCAATATGGATGAAACTCCTATGCGATTCGAGCTTCCGTCGAGCAGAACCAACAATGATTTACATGTACCTACCTTTCGTGATCTCGGAAATTTGTGTTTGTTGATAATCGCTCGGCTTACAGTCGAATAAACATTGAATTTCGAATCTTGTTAAGTACCACTAAATATTTTTTGGCGAAAATACTCGGCTATAAGCCGAACCTCCTTCCTTGGCGAGAATTTACCTGTTCTCAGTTTAATTTGTTGGAAAAATCGCTCGGCTTATAGGCGAATAAATACGGTACCTAAAGTATTAAAAACAGAAAGATGTACAAATTTGGACAGCAATTTTTCGCTGCCATTAACCAGTTGATTAGCAAAACAATCTCAAATGGTGGATCTTAAAGTGGATGAAGTATAATTTCTTTGCTTCAGCAACCCCATAACATGGGGCAAAATTTCAACCAAAAATTGAAGGAAAAGAATAATAAATTATATGTGATGTCTTACATTTACACGAGGACACATTGATTTACAGGTTCATTTACAGGTTCATTTACAGGTTCTCACTAAATCAAGTACAGTTATATTCTTACATTAATTGCTATATCAATTACATTAGAAAAAAGTCAACAATGGAATCGTTCACTTCCATCCCATCCTTCAATGTGGCAAGGTCCATCTGTAAGATCTGGATTTTTGCTACTGCTGGTGGTGGTGGAAACACAGCTATTACCTTAGAGTCATTTAAAGAAATGAAAATTAAAAATACCTCAAACCAAAGCAAGAAAACTTTAAAACTGAAAACAAGGATAAAACACCCTCATGATAACAGTACATTTAGACCATGAAAACAACAGCATATTCACCATTGTTGGTGTATCTTGATTTCAAAACAGCTAGACCATTTTTAAAATGATACCTGTCTTGATCAGTCAAAGTATTTTCTTTGCCAGTAACATTGGATGGTGTCTGATGGAGATGTTCATCTACAGGTACGGCATCACCTCTGTGGCTTGCACCTACAAGATTAAATATCAACGTGTAGATGTAAATTGCTTTAAAAACAGAGCAAGAGCACATGGAGTTTCAAAGTGCCAACTTAGCTAAGTGGAGGGAAGGAGATGTAGTGAGTGTGAGGTTTTGTGGGAGCTTGGAAAAATTGTTAATTAAATAAAGGAAAAAAACCTGAGATAGTTTTATCTTAGTAAGTAAGAAATAGTGATGTAGCACCAAACTCACGCTATCTATGACATAGGCAACAGCTATGTTTATGATTGCACTGGTGTACTGTATAGAAGTAATAAAATTCTGTTGGTTTCGGATCATTTTAGTAAACACATGCGCAAATGTGTTTATCAAACACATTCTACAAACTCACACCTTAGCTACTTTTACCAAAACACGAGCAAATTTTGTAAAAAGTCTTAGTGGTATATTTCCAAGAAAGTGCACTGATAGCATTGTTTTGGCTGCAGACCTTGATCCCTTTAGAGCTACAGTACACTTCGAGAGTCATGGGTCTAATGCCTTTGCGTTACTACATGTGCATTATATAAAACAGAATTCCCCCATAGCTCATAGAAGTATATTACAGTTTTAAAACCAATGAATGAAGACCAGCAGTGCAAGCATACTGTATCCATGTTCAGAGTCTTTTGGTTTTACCTTTTACAATCTCTGGTTGGTTCTGAATTGCCTTTGCATTTTTGCTGGGCATTTTCTGCTGCTGGAACAATTTCAGGTCACCTGTGATGGACATAAAAAGCTACATTTCAACCTTGGTAAAAATCACAGGCCAATGAACAGATAAGAATAGAGTAAAGGTGGGTACGTACTATTGGCTCAGTCAATGAACCTATGTCTGACTTACCATGCATTTTGCTGGTAAAGCCAAAGGAATTGCAAATATTTTCATATTCACAATTCCATTCATGTCTGTTGTAAACAGTGTGTGGCTTGAAATCATCATGCACATGGCATGTTCTTTTCTCATCAAATACATACTCGAAGAAATCCTCCCCAAACATCATGGACAGAAGTTTGTCCAAAAGTTTGATCCAGAGGATATCACTTGATTTCCAGGAAATGGACTTTGCTTTCCAACCACAGCCAGAAAAGTAGAATTGAAAAGTGTTCTGATTTTCCAATGTCTTCTCTGTAATGAAAGAAAACTCTCTATTACAAAAGTCTGGTGAAGGGCAAACCAATGAATTGTTTGAATTAATAACTGTTCTACACAAAAATGAAGAGAGAACAGAGGAACCAGAGCCAGTTAAAATTTTTGTGAAGTGTATGGGAGAATAATTATATGAAAATAACTGCTATACTCCAAACCACACATCAAACATCAATAAAGATAACATATGTGATTAATAGATAATTACCTTTTGAAACACAGTTGATGGGTAAAATTGAAGAAGAGCTCCCCAAAATATTTGTCGGCCGACAGTTCATTGACAGTTGGCCGACATAGTGACAACAAGTTCAGAAACCAGTCAATAGACTGTCATCTTGGTAAGTTTGAACTTTCACAATTACCTCATAATGCGAGTGTCTTAATCGCCCAATAATAACAATATAATGGAAACTTTATTTGTATTTTTAAATGTAGAATTCTAAATCTCACTATGTATAGGCAATTTACAAATGCTGCTTGAGATTGGCTTATTTAACACACTCTAAAATCAAAATTGCATTAAATCTGGGTTGTCCCAGTAGCCCTTATTGAAGTTGAATACACCGATCAGACACTCCAGCGGTATAGAGTAGCAAAGCCATGACGTCACGTTTCCTTGACAGCATTTTTCTCAGTTCTAAACAAACGCCGAGGTCTCGTTGTGAATGGCGCCATATTAATCATAGCCTTATTTTCAATCTCTTCTTTGCTATCTTACTTCGAAGATGAAAAGAAATCTATCGCAAAAGTGGAGAAATACAATATTTACATACTTGGAGCTTTATCGAGTGAAGTTTTAGCTTCTTTCGCTAGCTGTGTTATATAGCCATTTAAGTGTCTTAAAATGTTGAGTCGCGATTCAAAAGGCAGTTCTCCCGCGTGTCAAGTTGTTAGACTAATTTTGATTTGTCATGAGTAATGCTCAAATACACTTACAAAACATTTGATTATTGAGTTCCGCACTTTGTGCAGCCTGATCCGAAAGATAAACAGAACCTCGCTAGCCTTAGTTTTCGAAGACCGAGGATCTAGAGAGGTTTATACAGAAACGAAACTTTTCGCGTTGATAACGTATTATAGAAAATGGGATAAGTATGTGCATGTGAATATCGTCAATGTTTAGCGAGGTTTTAGCTCATAGAGTCTCAGTAGTTTGCTGACACGCACGTAATTTAAACCGAAAGGCTAAACAGATAATTCCAGTTGCTATTCGATACTATACCACGAGGTCTTAATTTTCCGGTTTTCGAGTTATTTTCATGTGCGGATGCACATTCAGGTAGTTCTAGTGAGTTTAGAAGTTTTATTGAAAAGTTGTCTTTAATTTGAAAACTGCATTTTCTTTGGGAGTGATGGTTTTTAAAACTACATATGCCGTAGCCTACGTTAAATGATTATTTTCCGCTCTTTTCACGCTAAAATTAACCCCTTTTTTGGCTGGGTTAGGCTCAGGAGCGGATATTTATCTACCGACCCTTGCTCCTTCGCCCCAAATGTCCATAGCATAAGGGAATACAAAGCACTTAATCGTAATTGAATATGCATGTTTCGCCTAGTTGTTATGTAGTGTTAACGGTTTTTCAAATATTCTGTAACTGACGATGATGTTCGTAACATCAAAACATGTCTTCGAAATTAAAAAATGTCGTACTCTTCTTGAAGATAACGATTTGCTTTCTGCTGTCTCGACCTTTTGGAATACAAAGAACAGCTTTATCACAAGACGTTAACTTACACGGAAAATATCTGAGGAAGATATAATCATCTGACATTTTCTGAAAATTTTCTCCCAAATCCAGTGATTTCCCGTGAATGTTTTGAGTGTCTCAGTACAACCTCTTGGAAGGACTGTGATGCCAATCGACGCCGAGTCACATGCTTAACTTCGACGCAGTGCCTCAAAGCCAACGCTCACAGCTCCAAGGAAGACGTATATCTTCGAGGCTGCGCGCGCACGTGCTATGCCTCAAGTGTTTCCGTCTGCCGGGAGCCTGGTGTCACTTGTAACGTGGACTGCTGCTCCAGGGACTACTGCAATGGCGTTAACAGTCGTATGGCCAGCACCCTCGTCATGATGGCCTCCGCTGTAATTTTTTTCTTGTTTGGCTATTAAATCTCTTTTGAACACAATTACAGTAGCATTCAAATGGTGTTGTAGGGTTTGGAATTTTAATGATCGACATAAATTCGTTATAAGCAAGTTCCAGATGTCAGTGCAATTTTCGAAGTAGTTTTTAATATTAATTTTTCATAAATTTTGTCATCTTAGTTAATGATAGTTATTCCATGTCAGGACGCAAGGTCAATAAACATTTTATTTCTTTGTGACATACTACGTACATCAGTATACATCAATATTTACCAGTCAGATGAACCAATACTTTAACTGCAACTATTTATTGCTACTAAATGAATAGAAAAAGAAAGAAGATGAAAAAAAAATGCGCTGAAAAAACTCAGCGTCTACTGACTCAGCAACGGATACCAAAAATCGGTTCCCAGTCTTCAT